GGAGTCTGCGTTATCTACGGCCCGTTGCATACTCGAGTCAGGGGTCACCAATGTGGAGGTAAGCATCAACGACACAGAGCTCTCAGTTCTCACTCCTTCTTTATTCGTCTCCAACATCAACTGCGCATATTGCGCCACAAAACACAGGAACACACTTCCTATACACTGGGTGTGAGTGGAGCCCTCTAGTGGTCCACCACAGTTTCATGTATTTTCTGTCCGTGTCTTTTAGTAGTGTTTCATGTTTCCTGTTTTATTGTGAAAGTCTTTGTCTTAGGTTAGTGTGTGCAGCTTTGTTTCCCCCTGTCTCGTTAGCCCTGATCTCTCCCAGCTGTGTCTCCCTCCTGTTGCCCATTCCCTCATTACTACCATGTGTACATAAGCCCTGTGTTTTCCCATGCTCTGTGTCGTTTTGTACCCTCAGACCCTGCCTGTGTGTTCCAGTTAGTGTTTTCATGTTTGATTTCTGTTTTGTTGGTGCCAGCAATAAAGCTGTGGTTTTCAGTTATATTTCCATCTCAGAGTCCTGCACTTGGATCCACATCTCCACCTCCCCGCACACAGAGCCCTGACACATACCCGCTGCTTCACAATCAACTGAAAACCACCTGATGAAGCCAACATAGGCTGCAAAAGCAGAGATGAGATTCTGAGACCAACAAAATGGAAGTTTACCGCCACCCGACTAAACCCACAAATTCTTTCCATTAAAACTACGAATATAATCATTGACAAAGGGTTTGCCTGGCAGAGTCCTACATGCGACGGGAATGAGTTTAAAGAGGCATTTTGGACTAAACTGCTGCAATGGTTATGCAGGGAACTGCTTTGTACCTCCTGTTGACAAACACACATTCACCAGCTGGGCTCACGTCCTCATTTTAGGTTTGACAGCGTTTTAGTAGATAAAGGTGAACTGCCTCGATGTGAATTGTGCTGTAGTTTGGGGAAGGCCTCGAAAGGGAATGGCAGCAGCTCCTAGCAGATCCCGTCTTTCAAACCATCTGTCTTCTCTGTCCAAAATGTGAACATTGGCATCCTCAAATGAGCGACCTTTGTCTTTTAGATGCAGATGGACCGCTAAGTGAACAAAGCCATCTATGTCCACTGTGAACGGCCATCTTTGAACAGAGGTGGTGGCTTACGACACCAACTGTCTGCCATTTATAATCCAGTCTTGAGATCCCTTCCCAGACGCCTTAACGCCCACTCACAGCCTGGGTCATCTGACCTCAGGAAATCACATCATAGGGTGGGGCCAGGTTTCCCAATGAGCTCACCTGAAATCTTGGCTGATTGTGACCCACACCCGTTTTCACACCTTGGCTCGTGTGATTAGGATCATTAGGAGGTCCATTGTCCCTCTTGGGGGACACTGCGAAAGGGCTTAAATCTGGGATTCTCCACCATTTGACCCTAGAACTGAAGAAGCTTCTTCAGGATGAGAGGCGAAACGTCTTGTAGCAACTTAAAGAAGTCCAGACACTTTTCTTTCCAGGCTCCTTAGACCATAATACCAAAAAGTCAAAACTTTAAAAGTGAACTTCAATCCATTTATGTGATAGAAGCTATATTTATCTTTTATATACAGCTAGTCTTCAAAACCCTAAAGACCAGATAAACACATATCTTAAATGTGGTGTAAAGAAGCAGTAAAATGGTACAAATATGGTAATTAACCATACTAGCATAACAACAAACTAGCATAACAGCTAAAATGCTTGTGCTGCAGCAAAATGTCCAGAAACCAATAAGTGATGTCATAGTGGCTATGTGCAGGTTCCGTATAGGCATCTTCTTACCCTTTCTTTTTTGTTTTTGCTTTATTTAGTATTTTCACAAATAAATCAGAAGTTTTTATATTGTTATTTATACAATTATTGTTCAAAAGTCCATTTTCAATGATAAAGAAAATTATGATGATTTAGTAGAGTATTTCCCGTGTGGCATGCATGCTGCTGTCATGCTGACATCACACACAACACACCAAACACACGGGGTGGGGTCACGTGTCACCTGCCATCTGTCAATCACCCTCACCCACAACACCCCCTCTAAAAAACCCAATGCATTCAACATAGTGGTATTTCTTTCTCTCTCAGCTTAAACACCATATTCTTCCCCACTTCTATGATGTGTCATTGTTAAAAGCTAAACATACAGTTTTATAAACATACCATGAGCAGCAGCCAGATGAAAGAACAGGAGTCCCAGGGACAGACGTATACACCAGAACATGGTCCTAGATGTTTATGAGATCAGCCTGGAAAACCCTCTGTGTTGAGTGGAGTAATGGAGTCTGAATGTAGAGATAAGATAGCCGAGAGGAGGGGAGGTGTAGAGGGTAACGACCTCTATGGAGAGGGAGGGGGACGGAGTGTTTAAACTGACTGATTGGGCTAGTTGGGTTTTAACTGAGTCATCAAAACTTCAAGGAAGAACTGCAAGTCCCAGATAGCACTGCTGAAAGTAAAATCCTCCAATCATGGAGGTTGCCCCTCTGGCAACCACGCCAAAGAATGTTTAGTATGACTTCCAGCATGAAATTTATCATGACACAGCCAATCAGATTTTAAAGAGCGCCTGTTATGCTTATGCCCAGTTTTGTATGTTTTTTTATGGGACTAGATAATACATAATGGATAACACAAAGCTATCATTATCCTCACTACATGTGCGCTTTCCTCTAATTGGCTAACTACTGGAAGCAAATAGATGGGCAGGAAGGAGTCATTGTCAGCTGCATAGTCTGTAGTAAGTGGAGTTGCTGTGCCTATAATATATAAACATATAAGGAGCACCAAAGTTTCACATGTGAGTACTTTATAATTTAGTGCTTTGGTTTGTGGCTTGATCTCCAAACTGTATGTCAACACATCCTTAGCAAGATACTTAACCCCAGTTGGCCCCAGATCCATCAGACCCCATCCATCAGAGTGTGAATGCATGAATTTCAGTCCTTAGGCATAGTAAAAAGCAATTGTGTGAATGTAGCAGTAACAAAGTGCTTTGAGTACTCAAATTGAGCAAAAAAAAAAAAAGTACCAGTCAAGTCAAGCACCAACATGGTTGAAAAAGACTTTGCTGTGAACAGGATCAGGCCAGGTCAAAGGTTTTAGTCTGTTGAACCTTAACCGTCTGTGAAGGTTCTCATTCATCCAGGTCATCATAGTCTAAGGAGCTTGCAAAGAAAAGTGTCTGGACTTCTTTAAGTTGCTTGAAGACATTTCACCTCTCATCCTGAAGAAGCTTCTCGGATGAGAGGTGAGATGTCTTCAAGCAACTTAAAATCCAGACACTTTTCTTTGCAAGCTCCTTAGACTTGAACCTTAACCCTTGCTGTACTGACCGTCATGGATATATGAAATACAGAAAAAGGCAATGGCATCATCAGAACAGCTGCTCGGGTGGTGCTGTCTACATCCAAAGGTCTTCCAAAATCCAGTATTAAAAAGTTGAAGCTTTTTTGACAACATAAAAGACTGGATCAGTGCACGTCATAGAGGACACAACAGGAGGTCTCATAAAGACCCAGCTTTAAGACTATATCCACATCTGTACACCAACACCAAAATGCTGTTTCTTTGGAGTAAGCCAAAAAAAATTTGGAGTATTGTGTGGACTCCTGTCCCAATGGGTGAAGTGGTTGTTTATCTATTGCAAAATGAGACAGTCAAGCTGCACGTGCTGCTTTTCATGAAACACAGAAAGGAGAGAAGACAAGAGAACCAACAGATTGTCAGAGATAAAAACAAGAGAAGCTGGTGAACTGTGAGCTGTCATGCTAATCATTATACTCTGGAAGTAAAGTAGTATCTGTTGCAGCTGTTGAGCTCTGTTCCCCTACTATGTGTAGTTACATTTCTGGTAAGAGCAAGTATAAGCAACTACGTGAGGTGTAAAACTATGTTGTAGATTTAACCAAGGATTTATAAAACATAAGGGGATTCATAGGGAAGCAAGATGTCAGCCACAAGGTAGCCATGCTGGTAAATCCTTCATTCAGAAAGTCACGAAACTAGAGACCAATACCATAAACTCAACAGGAAAGTGCACACTTAGCTCAGAAGATAAGTGATCCGCAGGCTCGTGTTCTTGTGTTCTTATAGACTTCCATACTGTCAGAACCTGAGGGGTTGTTTACTGCTGGTCATTAGAAAAAATGCAGGTTTAGTTTATCGTAATCATCAACAGTCTGGATCATTAAATTCCTTGCAGTCAACAGGGAACACTGAATAGTATGAAAGACAAAATTTTAATAAAAGGCACAAAATATCTTGTCTGTATTTGCATAACTCATCTGCCCAGTTCACTATGATTAACCTTTAATAAGCATTTGTCAGCAAGTAAGGTTGGTAGCTTAGTCTGGTTTTGAGTGTTTGAGAAGTTAAAGATATTTTCCAAAGGATGAGCTCAAAGCTGCATTATTGGCTTCTCTGGATATCTTTAATATCTAGCTCACATGTGAACCACATTTATAAACAAGGTTTGACTCTAATAGGAACTCGGAGGGCACAGTGTCTATGGTCAGAGCCTAGTAGAAAACCCATCAACAGATAAATCCAGTCACTGGCAGCAGTATGCAAGGAAATTAAGTTTTAGACATTAAATCATGAAAAACAAGACACTTATTACACTTTTGTAAAAGTTTGTGCAGCTTCCTCACACACTCAGGCCTGAAGACTTTGTTTCACCTCACTTTTAGATGGGGTACAGTAAATGAGGAGATTTCTTTTAAAACTCTGACTCAGTGCGGAGGTAGTTGAATGGCAGCCAATCAGCTCAGCGCTCTTAGTGGGGCGAGTATTGGATGTCCACAGTCCAAACTAACGTGTATTGACTCTGCAGCTTAGAAAAACAAATGTTCAGTTATTACTGGGATTAAAGGGCTTTTAAAACACAATACCATGATCATCTGGAATGCAGCTGGAGAAGGTGGACACATGACAACAGAAAGGCATGTTAAGAGTTTATATTACCCACAAAGATGAGCCACAGAGTTCTTTGACAGTAACATTTATTCTGCTTCTCTCCATTTTTTAACATTTTCAAGAAAACCATATGGAAATACTTCACTTTTAACATTTCAGCCAAACAAACCAGACAAGACCAGGAAGATCAATGAAAGCATTTTAGTGATAACGTTTCAAATTTTTCAGAAAAGAAATAAACAACAAAGAAAAATAAATCTCCTAATTTCTTTTCTGTTCCACCATTATGAGAGAATGTGACGGTGACAATGGTGGATTTTTCATGGTCTTCTCCACCCACTCCACAAAATTGGCCATGTTGGTATACACCGCAAAATACCCAGCCCCACAACCACGTCCCCAGCCAACCACACCAGTCAGAAAGTGGGTGGAGCCAAACAGCGACACCAGTGGGCTGCCATCATCTCCACGGCAACTCTCCTGGCGTCCTTCCAGATATCCGGCGCACAGCATGTTTTCAGTGAGGTTGAACTTGGCTCTCAGGGAGCACATGGAGTTCTGGAGGATGGGGACTGGCATCATGCGGAGGACAGGGGAAACCAGGGCACCTAGAGTCTTACCATTGCCCCCTGTTGTCCTCTTGCCCCAGCCAGACACAGTGTGGTAACGTTGTAGCAACAGCTCCCGCGTTGCAAAATCTTTAGTGGGCAGGCAGATAGGGATGATGTGTTGGTTCAAGTTGACAGCATGGCTCAACTGCAGCAAGGCAATGTCACTGTCACCCGTCGCTGAGACGTAACTATCATGGGCAATTGCCAAAGAAACAGGTATCTCCTGTTCTGTGCCTTCTTCCACATCCAAGTTATATTCCCCTGGTGACACAGAGCAGAGTTAGAGAAAGCCAAGTTTTACAAAATAACCAATAAATAAATAAATAAATAAATCCTATAATTAAAAAAATATTAGGAAAAAAAAGATCAAAAAACAACTTTACAAAAACCCATACCAAATAATTTCCACAAAACTTAATGATGGGAAACACATTGTAAAAAATAAATGAGTGCAAACCCCTTTAGAAAATAATTGATAGTGAAATTATGAACTAATGTACAAGATTTATTAGATCAAATCATTTTTTAAATAATTAACAAAAGTACACAATAAAAAACTCTAAAAACTACAAACAACTAAAAAAATATATTTTTCAAGACAGTAACCAATATTTTCATCTCAATTCAACAAATTAATGAAAGTAAAAGCTAACTTTAAAAGAATAACATTTAGATGTTAAATTAACGTATCAAAATACTCCATATGGAAAAGATATATATAAATCGTACAAAGTTTGTATCTGTTGTGTGAAACTTGTATGAAAAGCATACAAGAGTGAAAACAGATATAAGATCCCTTGAAAAATTATATAATGAAACTGTTGTTTTGGATACTTACTAAAACAATATATGAAAGTAAAGAGAAAGTGACCACTTTCATGAGTACATCACGTAAGCCTTATATGATTCACTATATGAAGCAAGCTAAAGCTGATGCAAGTCTTTGCATCAAGTTTTTCCTATTTCTTCCCCAATAGGGGCAAAATAGTTTTATAAGTATGTTTTGCAAAGTAGCACATTAACGCCATTGCAATATCAATTTTTACTTTTAGAAATAATGTCACAGGCAATTAAAGGCAGTGACAAATAACTTTAAAAGCCAATTTGATAACTTAAAACAAGTTAATGATATTTAAATTTTACATTTTATTAGAAACTGGTCTGATATGTTAGCGATGCAAATGAGTTTACCTGCTACCACAGTCAGGTTTTGGGGGTCATGGCCATGGATGCAATGTGCAGCAGTGATGACCCACTTTGGATGGATGAGAACACCTCCACAGTGAGCTTTTGCATTTAACTGAACCAGAACCTAATAAAAAAACAAGGTTACATTAACTATAAGATAGAAACTATTTCCCAGGATAAAAATCAAACCTGAGACTAAAAAGAATATTTATTTTCATATATCATTTGTGTATTATTGTAATTTATTGAATTAATGTATCATTTAAACTATGTTATGCTTTTCTACCATACCCACTTGACTGTGGTTCAAAAATTTGGTTAGTCTCTACTGAACATGTAAACTTGTCCAGGTTTACAGCATTTACATATTTTCTTCTCAAAAACTGTACAGGGTGTTTTTAAAGATAAGCAGTGTTGGGACTAACGCGTTATTAAGTAACGCGTTACAGTAACTACGTTATTATTGTGGTAACGAGCACGGTAACTAGTTATTATGCCAAAACCAGGAACGCGTTACTCGTTACTGGGATTTAGATAGGCTCGTTATTCGTTACTTCGTGTGGTGGCTATCGCGGAGCTTCCACAGATTCAATAACATTAGCAAGTGGTGGAGGCCAGCAGGTGGATGAAGGAAAAGGGAGGCAAGAGGAGAGACCCGAAGCGGCCGCTGGTCCGAGAGTGTCAGGTGAACTGAACTTCAGGTAAGAAGTTATGACCTGCAGTCTCTCTGGGTCAGATATGAACCAAGTTTAGGTGGAGTTTATTTTCGTTATGCTGACTTTTTCGTACTGCGTGCTAGCTAGCATGACGGAGTTTCTATACAGCTGGGTGGTGCTATGTTACTGATGTTGAACTTTATTTTGTTCATAAGGTTAATTATTAGAGTTGCCAACCGTCCGTAAAAAACAGAATCGTCTCGTATTCAGAGAAAATATTACGCGTTTCGTTATTGAGGTGAAAAGGAACAGTTTGTCCCGGACTTCAGCTACAATGAAAAAGACACAAAGCTGGAGTTATTCTGTGTTTACGCTGCACAGCTGCCTCTTCTTCTCTCATTCTCTCCTCCCTCTCCTGTTTCTACTTCAATCATGAAACTGATCAATGATCAGCTGATCGGCTTTTCTCTCTTGTTTGTTTATCGCCCACTTTGCGCCAGAAAGAGGAAACCAGCGGATGTCGCGCTAAACAACAGCAGCACGTTTAAGCTTGATCAGCTGTTGTTAGAATTTATTTAATATTAATTTCTACTATCAGCTGATGTTTGCTGGAGCCACAGCTGTAAAGCTGCTGGTCATGATGTCGGTTTGGATATGTGGTGAGAGGGAAACATGAAGATGAAACCAGGAGATGTCCTTACTGAATCATCAGAGCTGAACAGGTGATGGAGAAACAGGTTTACCTTTTAGGTGACATGAATGAGTTGAAGGGAAGTTATGAACTGTTTCTGAGAGACAAATAACACCAGGATCCTTTTTTAGTAGCTGACAGCTGGTAACTGTGCAGGGGCGGGTCTAGCAAAGTGTTGCCAGGGGGGCCAGGTAGGGCATTAACAGGGAGAGGGGGGCACAAAGAAATACTTTCTTATTCTCATTTAAAATGTCTAGCTTTTAAAAAATAATTATCTGAATCTTACAACAAACGATTGATAGATTGATGCATATATACCATCAGAACAGTGAACATCACTGTCACAACAGTGTTTATTTTCATTCAAAGGCTTTATGATTTTTCCTATAATGGTGGGCCGGTCTCTAGTCAAATTCCCCGGGACGATTTTTTTGTCCCAGTCCAGCCCTGTATGCAGCTCATCTGCAGTCTGGTGTTACCTACATCTTCCTATTCAGAAGGCAGAATTTCCGAGTTCTGAGTACAATCGAAAGCACCACGACTGCAGTTTTTGTGTTGGATGTAAAAAGCAGGCTAGAATCATGCGGCGGTCAACGACGGTCCAGGCGTGGGATTTCTCTCGTGGAAATGTGCACATTATTTTTTTCCTTTCTATTGGTAGGTGGCACAGTGCACTTGTGGCAAGTAAGCAAGCTAGAAGACTGGCAGTCTGGCTGGGTATCCAGTTACGGAAGCAACACATTAACAAGAGAATTCTGAGTAAAACCAAAGTTACTTTCCCTAGTAACTAGTTACTCTGAAAGTAACGAGTAACTTGAAGTAACTGAGTTACTTTTGATAGAAGTAACTAGTAATGTAACTAAGTTACTAATTTAAAGTAACTTACCCAACACTGAAGATAAGTCGCCTACTTAAGTTGTATAAAGCTTGAATTATGCATTAACATAGTCATCAAAAGTTCAAACTGTCCACTGTCAAGTTGACATTTCCACTTTAACACAAGATGTTTGAATTGTTGACAAATTTTGGCAATGTTACTGCTACGTAGAAGACAATCCCTCTAGGACAGGGGTGTCAAACTCCAGGCCTCGAGTGCCGGTGTCCTGCAGGTTTTAGATCTCACCCTGGGTTAACACACCTGAATCAAATAATTAGTTCATTACCAGGCCTCTAGAGAACTTCAAGAAATGCTGAGGAGTCATTTAGCCCTTTAAATCAGCTGTGTTGGATCATGGACACATCTAAAACCTCCAGGACATCGGCCCTCGAGGCCTGGAGTTGCCTACCCCTGCTCTAGGACATGGGTGTCAAACTCCAGTCCTCGAGGGCCGATGTCCCAACTGTAACACATCTGAACACAATTAGTAGGTCATTAGCAAGACTCTGTAGGCTTGATTGCATCAAGTAAACTCATGCAGCTCATGAGTGAATGGTGCAATGAAAAGACCCATGATGAAACAATCAGTTTGATCACTCATATAAAGCAGTGTTTACCTGCCAAGGACAGTTTCCTTTGGGACAGTGGTAAGTCCCCACCATCCTTGGAGTAATCACTGCAGTCTGGTTTTGTCCAATTTCTGGTGGAGCCACCCGACCACATGGATACTCCACTGTAACACAAATGCAACCGCACAACTACTTAATCCTCTGAGATGTAAAGTAACTGATAATCAACTTAACGTCTTCCCCAAGAAATTCAGAAGCAATCAATCAGTCATTCCCGTAATGAGACATCATGTGACTACCTTTAAATGAGACGATTAAATTGACAGTCATTAAGTTTGGGGTCGAATAGTTTTGATCATATCAGTCAAGTGTATCTATTATAAAAGGATTTGATGGCTGCTCAATAAAGGATTTCACATCGTGATCAGGGTAAAAATAATGAAGCTGAAGCTCTTAATGGAGGTAGTCCTGCAACATTTCTACCATTGGGGACACAGTGTCGTCCATCGTCTCCCAGCACGTATCCATCAGCACAATAACATCGACGTCTAGATCCTGAGCCATCACAGAACTGCTCACAGCGCCCGTTTAGGTAAAGGCACTTCAGGGTATCTTCAAAGACTGAGAAAATCAAAATCATTTGTTTAAAGCTTTAAAGTTTTTTTATTTAGGGATAAATACCAGGGAAATAAAAGTATATGGGTTTAAATTCAGCAATTTTCTGTAAATCTTCATATAAAATTAATTTTAACCAACTTATTTCTTACCTGTCTGACAGTATCGTCCTTCAAACCCATCGAGACACTGACATTTTTGGCTATTTCCCAGATTAATGCATGTCCCATTATTATGACATGGGTTGATTAGGCAGGGGTCACGACCTTACAGAAGAGTTATAATGATAATGTCAGATTTATCAAAGTGATTAAATGAAAGCAAGAAAATTTGATTTACTTTTGTGGAAAGAAAAATTCCCTGCACTGCGTCCACTGGCTTGGAGATGTGCTTGGGATCATTGTCCTGTTTCATGACCCTGTGAGACAGCTAGCCTCACACTCAACCCTTGAATACTTTGGATTTCGAAGGAGTTCACGATCGACTCAATGACTCCAATGTGTCCAAATCATCAGTCGTCTATCACTGGCTTGAAATCTGATGTGTTTGTGCTGATATGTTATTTTTGATTTTTAGCCAACCATCTCTACTTTGGTCTCCCCTGTCATATGTGCGTACGTAACACAAACAAATTTAAAATCAAAATGTTACTTACCATCATATGACTGCCAGAACCGCATCTAAAGAAAGAAATATTAAATAACTTTCATATTTATTTATTTATTTATTTATTTTGATCGGTAAATTAGTGATAAACATTGTAGTGTATTAAACAACAGTTTGAGTTTTTTTAGGTTTCTGTAGCGTCTGTGCTCATTTTGACTAAGTATCAGCAGGCGGATCATTTCCATTCTGAAAAAGAGTGTTGTATAAAGTTGGAGCAAAAGATTTGTTTAATATGCAACACATGCCAGAGGTCTAATTTAATAATCATCTTTAATCATCATTGACAGTTTGGTCAGTTTACCTGTAGAATTTTGTTGTCACTTATGTTTTCAAACTAAGGCAAAATTATAAGGCTGAATAATTTAGTTTCTAAAATTGTATGTTTTATAAATTCAAAATGATTTTAGCCTGTATCCTGTTAGCAGAAGGCCAGAAAATGACATGCTGATTAACATTATGGGATAATGGTCCACTTGACAGTCATATCTTATTAGAATTTATTTTGGGTTAATGCAACCACAAGGGACAGGACTGGGGGATAGAAAAGGGGGGAAAAGAAAAAAGCTGGGGAGAAAGTTAACAGAAGAAGACGGAAAGAAAAGAAAAGTATGACAGCCTAAGGAGGTCCACCACAGGGACTTTTTACTTCTATTTCTTCTTCTAGTTTTACTTCTTTTAAACATCAGTGTGTCTGACCGTCTGATCTTCATCCTCAAACACCTCCCGAGCCTCTTCATAGCTGCAGATCTCCTCAATGCATTCCCTCTCCAGATTTCCCTGTTTTACCTCCTCAAACAAGCTATTTGCTCGTCGCCAGCGCTGCAGGACTAAGTTGGCCTCATGCTTCTCCACAAACACTGGAAGGGTGGGTTGCAAAGATTGAGGGGTTTTTTTTCAATAAAATCATTTAAATGTACAAAGTGGAGAGTCATGTATGAACAATTACATACTTGCATGTGTGAGAATATAAGTTTTATAGCACGAAATGTAAGAATTAATAATAAAGTATTCAATTTTTGAAAGAAATAATAATGAGCTAACAGTGATCATTTAACCAGTAAAAATTGAAAAAGCTTAACCCTTAAATGAAAATAACTAAACCAGCAAAACAGTTGTTTTCTGTCAATCAATTAAAGAAACATTAGACACATCTGCTTTGCATTTTTATAAAAACACAAAAAAATACACATAAAAATATATTACCTGCCAGTCTGTGACATTTCTTCAACCATCCACAAAGTTCAGATCTTATCATAAGTTAAGCTTTTCATTTTAGGTTTCTCGATGGAATTAGAAGATGTGTAAAACTGCTCCCAATTGAGGTTATTTTGATTGTTATTTTCTCTAAAGGAACCAACCTGCAGCAGCAGCGGTGCCCCACAGCAGAGTCCAGATGATGCAGCAGCCCTTCAGCAGCATGTTGACCAGATTCAGAGTGTTTGCCAGAAAACAGGGGTTTTCAAGATGAGGGGGCAGGGAATATTTATATAGTCCACGCCCACTGATCATGTGCTCTGCTTTAACGGTCGGTAAATAAAACCTAGGAGGAAATCTCATTCCCTCTTTACAGTCATTCACGTTAAGGCTACAGTATTCATGAATCTCACACACTGACAATTTTAAAAATATAAATGTGGAGATAACTCAGAGTCAAAAAGTCTCAGTAATTGTGATATTCTGACACTTGAATATTCTTTTGGAATCCACCAAATTTAACACTGTGTTTTCTACACATTATTTATTTCAGGTCCCGTGTTCTGGTTTCCGGTGCGCCTCCTACCAAACAAACCTCTTGAGTTGTCCCTGGTTTTCAGGGGTCATTTAAGTCTTTCCCCAATAAAGAATATTTGCTTAAAGATGTGTTTTGATTCTTATGTATTGGCATGGTGTGGCGACTAGAATAGATCTCAGGGCTTCCCAAAGATAGCCATAGTAAGGTGTAAGGCAGCGATTCCCCTCACTAACCTCTGACACACACCCAATCATTTTGTTCTGGAAGCAGGCCGGAAATATGATTGAAATTATTTATCAGAAAAAAGACAAACAATGGTTACCCTAGCAGGTGTCCTCAGGATGGGAAAGGGGAGGGTTAAAATCGTGAATAGCTCAGCATGGCAATTCTAAGTGTTAATTGTCATTCTGTCTACAAAATGCAATGAAAAATACATTCACAAGGCTCGTTTTAATTAAAAAAAAATCCAATACATTGTTCTATCATCTGTTCAGAGAAAACCAGTAAAGCATCACATTTGTAAAATAATGTTTTGTGTTTTTAACGATTTGATGAACTTTCTTAAATATGCAGAACTGATCAATTGAAATCAAACCACCAAAATTTGTAAGCGAAATACTTTCTGCAAAGTTTTTAATGAGAATCTTAGCAGTCAATCAGAAAAGTGAAAACGCAGTATTTGGTTATATGAGCTATGCTAAGCTAAGTTAATCGGGTCTTTCAGGTGGTAAGGTTGTGCATCAGAGTCTTGCTGCTGTTCCTCGGTTGATCTGGTGTTGCCGTCCGGTTGTGGATCCACTCAAGGTAGTTGGACACTCGGGTGTAGATGCCATAGTTCCCCGGTCGGGCGCAGCCCTTCCCCCAGCTGACGATCCCCAGCAGGAAAGTTGTCGTCTTATACTGGGTCACCAGGGGTCCACCGCTGTCACCTTTACACGAGTCCTGACGACCCTCAATATATCCGGCGCAAAACATGTTCTGAGTGAGCACTACGCCACTCTCATCGACACAGTCCTGCGTGCGGATTCGCGGCACCTTCAGGCGTCGAAGGATCTGTGCGGTAGGCCCATTTTCGCTCCGCCTCCCCCAGCCACTCACTGTGTGCAGCCGGATCATCCAGAGCACACGGGTGGATAGATTCCATGTAGGTAGGCAGACTGGGACAGCATACTGGGTATAGATGATGGGAGAAGCCAGGCGGAGGAGAGCGATATCATTGTCTGCAGTGCTTGATACGTAGTTTTCATGCATGATAATCTCAGCCACCTGGATGAGCTGCTCGGTGCCTTCATTCACCGTAATGTCATGCTCACCTGACAGAAAGAAATATAAGGCAGCTCAGATTTAATCCTTTGAGCACAATTCAAAGTTAAATTGAGATTAATTAACAGTGATTTGAAGTATGCTTGTGTATTTTCATTGTCTAATGAAAAGATTTATAGACAGGTAGCCTCCTATTTTTTTTAGGGTTGTCATCATTTTAAGAGGTTTAGACTCCTGTCACTCTCCTGTTCTGCTTCATAAGTCAGACTTGCTTGAACAGACGGCATATTTAACTATGAGATTCATACCTGCAATGACTTTCAGGAACTGGACCACGATGTCTTCCATGCAATGAGAAGCTGTGATGATCCATGTAGGTTTATAAATCACTCCTCCACAGAAACCTTTTCCTTTATACATCAGCAACACCTTCACACAACACAAGAGCACATTTTGTCTGAGCCTTCAAAAAGGATAAAACACACAAAACTAAATTAATATTTGTTGTTCAGAACCAAAAACTGGTTTCGATAGAATCTAAGAGATTAGATACCCTTTTATGTTAGTGGACTCTCTGCTACCCTGGACGCTTAGTTAATAAAAAATCAGACATATTTAAACCGATGAACTCTTCCTTTATCTTGGGCCTACCTGCCAGGGGCATTCACCTTTAGGACATACAGTTCCTCCAACGATTCGGAGATGCTCCTCCTTTTCTTCACCCCGCAGTATGGGGACCATGCCACATGCTATCGGCTCTGAAACAATAACAAATTATTCATTATTAATTTCATTTTGCAAATAATATCAAACTGCAGCTCCGGTTTAACTTTTACTAGTTAAAGGTTTTACTGGTGCACTAGAACTACTTAAGTGTTCTAAGCAATTGTTTATACACTGATGACACACACATGCGGTGGTGGGGAGGTTGGGGGTATAGAGGGCTGGTTTAAAGTAAAACAGGAATTTCATAACTGTTTAGTGCAGCAGGGAGTCCAAAGGTTGATCAGTGAGGCCTGTAGGAACAGACAGGATTTTCCTGTAAATATATAAACTTCAGCGCTATGACGTTCGTCAAACTGAAATACCTGAACAAATATTTTCACTCACACACACACACACACACACACACACACACACACACACACACACACACACACACACACACACACACACACACACACACACATACATATTTTCTGCAGCCCTGAAAAATGTTAAAAAGTAGAAAAAGTGATTGAAATTCTTTAATTCTTCAATCCTCTGATTGTTTGCTAGAATCAAATGATTATTTTCCTTAATTAAAAAAATTAACATTTAAAGAATCATATACACACAGTTATGTAAAATATTGGTGTGATGGATAAACTAAGACAGAATAATTACCATTACCAGCATCTAAATGTTTTTACATATTCTAACCTATGTTTTTGTCTTTCATAGCAAGTATGGGTTTTTAAAGAAAACTGTCATAAACTTTGTTATTGCAAATATGAAAACAATTGTGTTGAGAATCTACAAAACATTTTTCACATTTTGTTCTCTACAAATCACGGTCCAACCTTCTGCTATGCAACTCCGTCCATCAACATGGAGAAAGTAGCCGTCTGCACACGAGCAGTTCTGTTTTTTTTGGAACTCGTCTTCTTCACAGAAGTGCTCACATTCTCCGTTCTCCACCCAGCAGGTATCGATCTCAGCTTTCACCTCTAAAGAAATGTTCATAATTAAATTATGTAATTTGTTCATTTAATCACAAAAAAGTAAAAAGAAATTAAATTATACAAAAAGCAAATAACGGTTATTTCAATTACTTTTCAAGTAGTTTTTCATAAACTGGCGGGAGGAATAATTAATTTTGATAAAGTACATGTTAAAAATTATATATAGCTTAAAAATAAGCCAAACACTTTTGTAAGTCATACACTTTAATTTTATTCAGCATATGATTAAGTAAAATATTATAAATTATAATTTTTATTTATAATTATAATTATAAATAATATTGTAAAAATATTATTTTTATATATAATAATTTAAATAATCACAGTTTTTCACCATCATGAATTGTGAATGTAATTTTAGTTTGCTGAGTTTATGAGATTTTGTGCCTTTATAATTGAGTGTTTCTTTTTCTGTCTAACAAAATAAAATTCCCTTCTGAAAACATAAACATGTTTTGCTGTTATTAACTGAGTGACGTTTATAGTTTAATTTTAATGAAGGCAAACTGCTAGCTAAGCTAATTTAAATAGAAAATACTTCACATTACAGCAGCCAAGTGATGTGAAAATGATCATATTCTTTGCTCACCAAGCTCACAGGTGACTCCATGGAACTCTGGCAGACAAAAGCAGATGTAGGATGAAGCATGAGTGGAGCAACTGCCTCCATTCTGACAGGGATTGGAAATACAGGGGTTTGGTACTATAAGACAACACAGAACACAATGATTTAACATGACTGTATCATATTACATGGTGTTATTGATGATCTCTATTTGGGAAAGCTGCTCTTAAAATCGACATTATAGTTTATATTTTACGTTAAATGTATTAAATCTAAACACAATTCACAAGTTGACTTGCTGGAGTTTCTGAAGGTGGACGTAAAATTGGTCTTCAAGATGTATGTGGTGCTGCGCTAAAAAAACATTTTATTCCAACTACTTTTAACATGGGAAATTGCTTACCGTTGTATGTTTTCCAGAACTCATTCTGAGGAGACAACAATTACAGCAATGTGAAAAAAATAAACCAGCTATCAGACAGAAACATCGGGTCTCCAACAAAGATATGTAAAAGGCAATCTACAAGAAAAACACTTTAGCTGTGAATCCTGCAGATGTTTAGCTTCACATCAAGTTCTCTATAGCTTTGTTGTGTGTCATTTGCTTAGATTTGATCTGCATCTGCTTGCATCTGTGTTTCATCTTTGCGTAGTGCTTTAGTCTCTGCGTTATGTTTGTCTCTTCTTGGACAGCTTCTGTTTGTTTGTGGTAAGCCCGAATGTCTGTGTGGTTGTTTTGAATGTCTTTTAGCCTGTTTGTGATTATTTAGTGTTTTATAAGATTCCTTTGGCCCCTGACTTAAAATGTTCTTGGTTATCTGATTGGTTGCGGCCTACAGCTGTTCACTAAAAAACTAAACTGCGATTTTAGGTTCAGATCAACTGCAAAGCTTTGACATGAACATAGTTTCTTAAGTATTTCTAGAAAATTTTACAAACTATAAATCACTGCCCCCTAACAGCCAATGGGATGGCTTCTTCCCTCAAGTTATAACTGAAAGCCAGCATTAGTAAAAACATTAAGTTTTGTTTAAGTAAGTGAGAAATTGAATAATGCCCTCTCTATTCCTACAAATGACTATGATACGCTTGTCCTCAATTTCTAAGCATTGGCAGCATCCCAAGTATGTTGGAAAGTTAGTATAAAGCACATTTTCACCTCATGAGTTCATGTGGCCAAGTATTTGCCTCTGTTTGTGTTGCTAATTATGAACTGCTATCAATTTGCATGTTTACATGAATGATTGTCTTAAAACTAGTCAGTAATTTACTGAAATAACATGGCTTCAGTATTTAACAGTATTTAATATAAGTATCAATAATTTAAATCTATTCTTAGTTCACACATGACAAGTCCCAATTTTTTTTCCACCTGCTGTTTTCTCCTGTCATGTAAAACTCTTTTATAGAAAACATGTTCAGTGAAGTGAAAATTTAATTTGATTTTACCGTGAGCTCGGTGTGCTCAAACACCTCCCTGGCCTCCTCGTAGGTGCACTTCTCCTCTATACACTCCCTCCTCAGGTCTCCCATCTGCAGCTCCTCAAACCAGCCTGAGTTATACCTCCGAGTCCGAACTAGAACGCCATTGGCTCGATCTTTATCCAGAAAGACTGCCCAACATTTGAAGAAGGGGAGAGTTCATCAGAATAGTTCTGTCTCAATCAGAGTTGGTCATCCAATTCAATTCAGTTTTATTTATATAGCACCAAATCACAACAAGAGTTACCTGAAGGCGCTTTATATTGTAAAGTAAATGTCCTACAAGACTGAAATCTCTACATGTCTATTGCATTGTTTTTAAATTTGATTCTGATCAAAGTTCATCTGAAGCCCTTGTAAAGTCACTGATCACGTATATTATGTATAATTATTTTACAATAAACTGCTTGGTTTCCATGTCTCTGACATGTTTATTTATACGGGACAATGCATTTTAATTACCATGAGCACCTTAATAAACAAAGTAAATATGACGTAACCATAAAGTCTAATTTGCATTTGTGGCTCTTTGCAAAATTGATGGTTTTCATAAATAATTATTTGAAAAACAAAAAACAAATCTATAGAAAACTGAACATAGATGAATAACATAAACAAAAATATACTGATATGACAAATAAATGCTAGACATTAAACATTAAATCATTTATAAAACCTAACACATTAGAAATTACTAAAACAAACCGTAGAGTAAAAATCTCAAACTTTACTGTAATAAAGTAAAGTGCTACATGTAAGAAATAAGAGGCAGCAAATGATGACGCTTTTCTTTAAAAAGGTTCACTGATTATTATCTTAGTTGTCAAATAATAATTTGTTAAAAACTGATTAAATAATCACTGTGGTTGTTTATTTTTACCCACATCCAGTCTCATAACGATAAATATTTGCAATTTTTCCATGATATTTTTGATTTTCTGTGGTTTCCATTTTCTTTCTGTTTGTTTTTTGAATATAATTTTATTTACTTACTTACTCACTTATTTATGTATTGATTGGTTGATTGTACAGGTGACTTAAACTTTTTGCCTCCCCCCCTTTTGGGGTGGGGGGAGGGGGGGAGGGGCAGATGAAACCTTGTGTTTCTAAACACACTTGTTTTTAAGCATATACTGTCCACCTTACAATCAGTGTTTTTATTTGACTCTGCTGTTCCATACTGTGCATCAGATGTCACTGTTAACATGTTAATATTAGCTCAAAATGATGGTCATTCTCGTCCCTCTCACGACAAAAACAGACCTATGATTAAGTGGTTTCACCTCCATGTCACTGCTTAATCCCTGAGCTAACTAATCAATCAATCAGTGATCGATACGCGTAAACGTGTTAGCTCACCTGAAGCCAGCTGGCAGCTGTGGAAGCTGAAGACGAAGATGATGAAGACTTTCAGCCACATAGTTGATTTCATCAGAAAGTTGCTGTGCTGTGTCTTTGTGGGGCTTCGGGTCCAAAGTCCGTCCCTCCTCCTGCTGGTGGTCACATGATCAGTGGAGAAACCTGAATGATGAAACTCTGACCCAAAATCACTGAAAGTTTCTGCCTCCAGATTCCTGATTATCACGGTTTCATTGGTGAATTGGAGAAATTACGCAAACGCAGAGTTTCTTTTGTGTATTTCTGATATAGACGTAGACTTCAAACACCAAGCAGTCAAGCAGCCTACACGAGTTCAGTATTATTCTATTTATTATAACGTGAGGCTGTGTATGTATGTATTATACTTATACATTGTTTTGTCTTGTGTTTAGAAGGTTATTAGACTAAAATCATTCAGTCAAAAGAAGGATTTGACTGACTTGGCTTAATTTGTTAAACTCAACAATAAACAGATATTTGCAGCCAATATTCCACAGTCAGTGTAAACAGAAAGTAACCACTGTTTCAGTTCTAAGATTTTATTTATCAGAACGTAGTGAAAAGTAGACCTTTGCAGGTCTTAGAATTAGATAAATACAACAAAACAAATTACAGTGTCATTGTATATTCAACAAGTATTAAGACAAAATGCAGAAGCAGTGCGTGAAAAACTAAGTACCGTATTTCCCGGACTACAAAGCGCACCTGAATATTAGCCGCACAAGCTAAAATCAGGGGAAAATCCTGTTTTGTACATACATTAGCCGCACCTGACTAAAAGCCGCAGGTGTTTCAATGTTGACTTATCATATGTAAGAGAATATGCACAAAGGGAATTGTCAGGAAAGAGATGGCTGTTTGGAGACATCACTTTTATTAATATTTTGAAAAACAAGTTATGGGTACATATTTGCACATGTAGTACATAACAGTAGCCTACAGCACACCAGAAAAATAGATTCGGACTACCTTTTAGGCTCAGGTGCAGTGACACAGCTTTAACAAGAAGAAAAGTCAGTGATTCACCATCTTTCTCTTCTTCCTGCGCACTAAAACCACCAAAGTCCTCTTCTCCAGTGTCGGATACAAACAGGCTCAGAGTGGCTTCGTCATCCACTCTTCTTCTCTCCTTCGTTGTCACTTTCAAAACCAAAGAAATCCTCATTGTCAGTGTCAGAGTCGAACACCCTCAGAAGGGCAGTGGCGGTGTCCTCCTCTCCATCATGCAGCAGTCCAGCCCTTCAAAATCCGTTGGTGATCGTGGATGTTTTCACACTTTTCCACGCTGTCAGAATCCACCGGTGGAGTTGGGCATAACTTGCTTTTTTGGGCATAACTTGCAAGTTTATCGCCGCTCATCATCCACGACTCCCGCTGAACGCGTACCGCTACTTTGAAGTTTGTTTTTCGCGCTACTTCGTACGGTACTACGTTGCCTGGCGGACGGACATGTGACTAACATACCACTGTTGAACCCCGATCCTTCCGCCACGCAACGTAGTGCCGTACAACAGCGGAACACACAAAACAAATCCGCTCATGGACAATCCATAGAAAAGCCGCACCTGACTAAAAGCCGCAGGGTTCAAAGCTTGTGCAAAAAGTAGCGGCTTATAGCCCGACAATTACGGCACACTATTACTTCTTGTATAGGAATTACAAAAGTAAGTAGAAATTAGGTGCTCATAATCAAATGCACTTGATTATTAATTATTATTATTAAGCCTCACATGGCAGCACATGTTTGGATTCACAAAGTTTCACCTGAACATACTACAACACTTCTGGAACAGTGGTTCATTTGTTTGTACACACGGTCTGAGGCAATTTCAAATTTGTTTATAAAGAACAAACAAATTCACGTAAGAAAATATTGATAAATCACTGATTTGTGTGCATGAAGGACCCACTGTTACTAAATGAGGCCTACTGGTCCTACGAACAGAAGCACATCTACAACAAAATGGCTGAAAAGTGAGTGAGAGGCATGAAAAGAAACAAAAAACACTGAACTTCATCTTTATTGTCAAAAAACAACATTTCAACATGTCGAGTGAACTGATGTCTTTGCATCTTTTAGATTAAACTGATTGTTGGTTGATGGTTTACATTTACCATCACTGTAGAAAACTTCAAAGTTTCTAGCAGATTAATTTATATCTACAAATACAGGCCATTAATTTACTTGAAAAACAAATAATTTTTTAGTTTGTTGATTTTGGATTTTTCTCAGGACCAATTTTATTGTGATGAAATTCCTCCAGCTGACAGTCAAAAATTCTTTTTTTGTTCAAAAAGCTTCTGAAACTACATCTCTGGCATTTTTTAGGTACATGAAGGTGTGGAAGTTAAAGCTATTTGAGCACAGCATCAGAAAATGAATATTATTTTTATGCATTTGTGTCTCCTTCACAGTGATTACTGATCTAATGTTTCTAACACTGGATTCTTACTCTCTTTAACTCTTGAACTGCTTTGACACAGTGACTAAAACCAATTTTAGCCAGTTGCCATGATATTCTCAATCCAGTCCAGGAAGTTTGTGACCTTCGTGTAGACGCCGTACATGTTTTCTTGGCCGCAGCCTTTCCCCCAGCTCACCACACCTGTAAGGAACCAGGTTTTCTTGTAGCGTGTCACCAGTGGGCCCCCGCTGTCACCCTTGCAAGCATCCTGGCCACCACGCTTGAAGCCAGCACATATCATGTTCTTGGTGATGTTGAGCCCGGTGTGGAGGCGGCACTCCTGCACCGGGACCCTCGGCAGCTGCAGACGCTGCAGGTATCTTGAGGTAGAGCCAAACTCTGCCAGACGACCCCAACCAGACACAGTCGAGTGGCGGATGCTTGCCAGCGTCCGGGTGAAGGTGCTATTGCGGGCAGGAAGGCAGATGGGCACGACGTGGCGGCCCAGTTTTACTGGGCGGTGAAGTTTCAACAAAGCCAGGTCGCTGTCGGAGCTAGTCACGTTGTAGTCTTCATGGCACACAACTTTGAGCACCCGCCGCCACTGTTCTGTTTTTTCCTCTTCAATTATGTCATGCTCACCTTGAAAGCGACATTACTTTTAAATGCTACATTGAATTTGGAGCCAGAAGAAAAGTGAGCAAACTGAAAAAAAACTTGAACGACAATTAAGTTGACCTAACATACATAACATACAGTTGACTCACAATATCCACTATGTTAGCAAAACCCATATACTGTTAGATACATTTTCAGAAGCTAGAAAATGACACCTTTCAAATTAAATCAAATATTTTACATTGCATACAATGCTTCAAACAGACAAAAAAAAAAGCCTATAAAGAGGTATGGACATTAAATAAAATGCTATCTGTAACCCTAAAATGAGTCAACATTGACCTGGTGAATGTTATGTGATTGAAGGAAGTAAGAGAGGCCAGACTAGAAGCCAGAATTTGAAGTTACCATTTTTCTAATTGTCTTACCAACAACGATGTGGAGCACGGTGCTAGGTTTTTGATAAACACAGTGAGCTGCAGTTAAAAGCCATCGATCTGACAAGACGATGGCACCGCAGAAGAATTGGTTATTTTCAGCCAGAAGAGCCTGAAAAAAGAGATAAGATACATACAAATCTGGATTCATCTCCCTGTTTACACTGATTTTCAGTCCAGTCCTTGTGTAATTTGGCATATACAGTGGGGCAAAAAAGTATTTAGTCAGCCACCGATTGTGCAAGTTCCCCCACTTAAAATGATGACAGAGGTCAGTAATTTGCACCAGAGGTACACTTCAACTGTGAGAGACAGAATGTGAAAAAAAAATCCATGAATTCACATGGTAGGATTTGTAAAGAATTTATTCGTAAATCAGGGTGGAAAATAAGTATTTGGTCACCTCAAACAAGGAAAATCTCTGGCTCTCACAGACCTGTAACGTCTTCTGTAAGAAGCTTTTCTGTCCCCCACTCGTTACCTGTATGAATGGCACCTGTTTGAACTCATCATCTGTATAAAAGACACCTGTCCACAGCCTCAAACAGTCAGACTCCAAACTCCGCCATGGCCAAGACCAAAGAGCTTTCGAAGGACACCAGGAAAAGTATTGTAGACCTGCACCAGACTGGGAAGAGTGAATCTACAATAGGCAAGCAGCTTGGTGTGAAAAAATCAACTGTGGGAGCAATCATCAGAAAATGGAAGACATACAAGACCACTGATAATCTCCCTCGATCTGGGGCTCCACGCAAGATCTCATCCCGTGGGGTCAAAATGATCATGAGAACGGTGAGCAAAGATCCCAGAACCACACGGGGGGACCTGGTGAATGACCTGCAGAGAGCTGGGACCAAAGTAACAAAGGTCACCATCAGTAACACACTACAACGGCAGGGAATCAAATCCCGCAGTGCCAGACGTGTTCCGCTGCTGAAGCCAGTGCATGTCCAGGCCCGTCTGAAGTTTGCCAGAGAGCACATGGATGATACAGCAGAGGATTGGGAGAATGTCATGTGGTCAGATGAAACCAAAGTAGAACTTTTTGGTATAAACTCAACTCGTCGTGTTTGGAGGAAGAAGAATACTGAGTTGCATCCCAAGAACACCATACCTACTGTGAAGCATGGGGGTGGAAACATCATGCTATGGGGCTGTTTTTCTGCCAAGGGGACAGGACGACTGATCCGTGTTAAGGACAGAATGAATGGGGCCATGTATCGTGAGATTTTGAGCCAAAACCTCCTTCCATCAGTGAGAACTTTGAAGATGAAACGAGGCTGGGTCTTCCAACATGACAATGATCCAAAACACACCGCCCGGGCAACAAAGGAGTGGCTCCGTAAGAAGCATTTGAAAGTCCTGGAGTGGCCTAGCCAGTCTCCAGACCTCAACCCCATAGAAAATCTGTGGCGGGAGTTGAAAGTCCGTGTTGCTCGGCGACAGCCCCAAAACATCACTGCTCTCGAGAAGATCTGCATGGAGGAATGGGCCAAAATACGCAGCTACTGTGTGTGCAAACCTGGTAAAGACCTATAGTAAACGTTTGACCTCTGTTATTGCCAACAAAGGTTATGTTACAAAGTATTGAGTTGTATTTTTGTTATTGACCAAATACTTATTTTCCACCCTGATTTACGAATAAATTCTTTACAAATCCTACCATGTGGATTCATGGATTTTTTTTTTTTTCACATTCTGTCTCTCACAGTTGAAGTGTACCTCTGGTGCAAATTACTGACCTCTGTCATCATTTTAGTGGGAACTGCACCTATATCGGGCTGTCGCGCTGACCTAGTAGGTGTGGCTGTTATTCCTCTCTTCCTCCTCCTGCCCACTACCTGTTCGGTGCTGCTGCGTGCATGGCCGCTGATTAGACCTTGGGTGCAATCAACAACTAAGCACGGCCTGGTGTGCGCCGCCCTGCCAGGTGAGCCACATTAGAGCAATCAAGGGTGGGCGTGCCTAGTAGACCTTAAAATGCATGCAGCAGTCATTTGACCCGTGAGCAACATACTGAGAGGACGGCAAACAAAGCACTTTTCCACTGTGAGGAAGACTTTGAACAAGACGGGCTATCGGTAAGCTCTTGAGCTCACATTTGCTGCACATATATTTGGAACTATGGAAGCTCAGTTGTGCAAATGTTTTACGCTTGGGAAATAGTTGCTGCATTTAAGTTTAAAAAATTATATTGACAAAAAAGAATGTTTAAGTTTGAATAAATTGTTTGTGCAGTTAGTGTTCCCACATATTTATGTTACTTAATATTAAAAATAGTTACCCCCCAAATCCTTGGGTGGATCGTAAAAATAGAGAATAAATGTTTGGTTTTGATTTAAAGAAAATAATTCTTTGTAAAGAAAATCCTTAGTTAAAGTCTCTATTAAAATGTTTGTGAACTCTAAAATGTATACTTTAAAATACAATTGTTTATAAAAAAGTGTTAAATGCAAAGAAGACACATTGTGTATATTTATTTAAGAACCACAGTTAAATTAACACAGTTAACCACATGGTAAATGGCTTTACTGAAGTGTATTTTGTTATTTCATCTGTCTTCTGTGTAATGCATGTAATTTATCTGAATGGTTAATGAAATGTTCTTTATTTTTTTGTTGAAAGGTTTTTTACCTGCTGCTACCTACCTATCTACCTGGTCAAAATAAAGTTGAGTGAAATTCAAAGTCTGGTCTTTTTCAAGTGTGGGCACCTCACAGTCAGAAAACACTTGACAGTGCCTGACTAAATACTTTTTTGCCCCACTGCACCTCTGACAGGCACCCTTCCACAGACAGTTTCTGATGAAGCTTCAGTGATCATCTCCTGTGTCAGCTCTTTTTTTTTTTTTTTTTTTTTTTTTTTTTTTTTTTTTTTGTTGCCTTCCACTTCCCCTTCTGGCCATTATTTGTCGATTTTCCTCAAATTTGTTTGATGCGCTGCACAGCATGCTGAAGTATGTCAAATCTTTTGGCTAATAGCTATTTGCTAGTGGAAAAATACTATTTCATGCCAATCAAACTGTTATTTTGTGACCACTTTTATGACAGTGTTGTTTCTACAAAACTTTTGCACAATACTATATGTCTCTTTATGTATTCTAGTGGAAGATTGTGTATCTTAGCTCATTTTACTGGAGATGGGGCTCTATTCAAAGACTTACCTGCCACGGACAATGTCCTTTGGGACACATTATCCCATTAACAACCCTGGGGGCAAAATGTACCTGAGGCCTTCCGCAGACCACAGCATCTGGACCAGACAGTTAAAGAAACCAAAAGTCAGCCTTTTGCTTCTGACACCCTGAATGATGCTCAAAGACAAACAGGAATTAAAATCAGTCCAAACTTGTGATATCTAAGTTAAAAGCAGTTTTTTGGGTGTAAATATCTGCTAAGAGGTTAATATACCATTCCCGAACCCTCTGTGAATGGCCCTTATGGCCATTGATCAATGGTCTTTCATCAATGGGCTGTGATCAGTGGTTATTGATCAATAGTAATGACAATTTGCATATTAATGGTCAAGGAACTGACCTCACAGCCCATTGTTCATTCAGTGCTAGTTTCAGTCATTGTGCAAATGTACTGTTTATAAGATTGGGGAAACCTGCAGTCAGGTGAGACTGAAGAAGTCACTTGGATGAGTGACGAAACGTTTCTCCCACTGAAAATGTTACGTCCAGATGAACAGAATCAACTGTTTGGGATTTCATTACCTGGATGATTGAGCATGCATCAAGACTAGGTCAAGATGTTGTAGGTAAAGGTGTTGCTTAACATGTGAAACAAATCAATCAAATCAAGGTGCCGTGATGTCCCTGCTCACAGGTAACCTGTACAAATCTAAGAATGTTTTTTTTTTTTTTACTGTCTTCAATCAAGGGCGACTTTAAATTCATCCATGAGCATAAAGCAAGCTGATTAGAACTTGTAAAGCCTGTATTTTTAAAGTATTTGTGTTGGGTCTGCGCTTCCATAGGCCCCGCTAGTTTAGAGACTTATTCTCGTTAATGGCTCTGGGAGCTGAACGCTCCTCACCTGTTCCCTAACCAGCGTCAACCAACCAGTCTTCCTCACAGCCTTTTATTTCCCCGACACAGTTTACACAACAGTCACAGTACACACAAGCACCTCCCATTGTAAAACCACCCTATGGTTCTAAAAGATAAGACTGTGCGTGTGTGTGTGTGTGTGTGTGTGTGTGTGTGTGTGTGGCTGGAGAGGTGGTCAGAGACGCAGGAATGTCTTTGATTCCATAGTTTGAACTAAGACCTACAAATTTAACAATTTGACTCCAACAATTTGTACATGTGATTTGCACTGTACTTCATAAGTGTGTTACTGGCTCAGACCTTCAGGCATGCAGGTACTGTTGTCCAGTTCAAGTCTGTATCCCGGAGCACAAAAGCATATGGGAGAGCCACGCTGAAGCTCTCTACAGAAATGTTCACATCCTCCATTTCTGTAGCGACAGCTGGGGGTGTAAGAACGCACTGCAAGGGAACAATGATAACACTGACTTCCTCTGCACCAATTGAAAACATCAACAGACGTTTTGGACTTCCAACCTTTTTCGCAGTTGTATCCATGGAAACCTGGTGGACATTTGCAGATATAGGTGTCGATGTTTCGAGTGCACGTCGCTCCATTCTTACAGGGAGAGGACAAACATTTGTCCACAGCTGCAAACAGGAAGTAGCAAAGATTTTTATCAAGCATTTCAACAAATGTTTGGAAAACTGAGCAATGTCTTGGTTACAAGTGCGTAAAGAATTCTAGCACTACTTTATTCGCAATGTGTTTATAATGTTCGAAATGTCAAAGCTCAGACTGAGTACCTGTGTATGTCCTCCAGAAGTTCTCCTGAGTAGACAGAGGACCCAAATTCAGTAATTGTTAACAAAACAAATATAAATAAACTAAAAACCATCAAATTCTGTCTTTCAACTACCACCAGCACCATCCATTCTTATGTCACTACCTTGACTTCAGTAACAAAATTTGGTACCAAGTGTTGTGGCATTTTCAATGCTTTTGTTGGTATCTTGAAACTGACCAGCTGTTGTGGGTGGGCGAAAATCTCCCTGGCCTCCTCATAGGAACATTTCTCCTCGATGCACTCACGCTCCAGATTGCCTGTCTTGATTTCCTCCAGGAAAAAGTTTGCTCGACGAGTTCGATGGAGGAAACCGCTGGCCTCAGACTTTTCCAAACCCACGCCTTTGTGTAGAAATTAAACAGAACGACACATGTCAAACTCCAGTTGTGTAGACATAAGAGACATTAATAATGTTGTTTGCATAAGTTTCCTGTATGTTTACTGATATAGTTATTCAGGGTAATCCTGTATTTTTCTGTGATGAAAATCAGTCTCAATTCCATATTAACTTTTAAATCAGCATGAATAATGTATTTGTTTTTGCTTTGGAACAGTTTAGCTGGGTGGATACTGATAGACTTAGAAAAGTAAAACAGCGAGTAAGTACTATTAGTTCTGGTTATAAAAAAAAGATGAGAAAAATAAAATAACAAATTGCTTAACCATTTCACTCAAATAATTATTTAAAAAACATCTTTATAGATAAAAAAAGAAAAGGAAGACATTAAAGATTTTATTTTCAAATATTTTGCTAAATTATTTTTCATTAAACTATATTTTTAAGTTAATAAGAATAATAAAAATACACACATAATGTGCTTTTTACACATAATTACACAGTTAATAGTGGTATACAGTTGAAAGATGTTTGCATTTTATTCTTGTTAATTTGACTGTTAGCATGACTTGGGACCGAATTAATATTGTTTTGCTATTTAAATGCAAACCAGGTTTAAAAAGGATAATACATTTTACATTTTATCTACAGCATAAGTTTTATCACAAAGAACATTGCTGTTAATATAATATTGGCAAACAGGAAAAGCCAACACATTTAAAGACTTTTTATGTGTTTTTCCCTTGTTTGTTTTGTAACTGATTTGACTTCTGTAAACTGTCACAAATGTCCTCATATTTCTATATTTATAATGCTTTGTTTGCATAGTTAAACACTTCTTAAAAAGTTGTAAAATATAATCTTTCATAATTTTACTTTTATGCGTTGTACTTTTATTCTTTTTTTAATTTTTAATTTTTAATCATAGTCATTTCCATTTTTTAGGTAATATAAATATATATTATACAATATTTTGGCAGTTGGTCTTTGGCTATAATAATACCAATATCACTGTTTCACCTGCTACAACAAAAGACTTAAGACCTAAATGTACATGAATACATGGCTGAATAAATATAAATAAATAATGTTCATGTTTTATGTTATTTATTCTGAGCTAGAAATTAGTTTCATTCCTGTTTTTTATAACTGTTTTTTCTTTTTTGTGAAAGAATAATATGCCCTCTCATATCTGAATGAAATAAAATAATCTTGAGTCTAAGTTTATTCAGTGTTCAGATTTATCTTCCTGAAATTTACCTGTAGTGTTTATCGCTTCCCAGTTCATTACAAACCAACATGCTAGCATGACTTTAGCCTCCCGATGTTGTGGAGAGCTGCTCAGAGCTGTGGATGCCTGTGTGCCATCCCTAACAGGTGGAAACAAGTACAGAAAAAGACAAAGAAAATTTCTAAGATAGAGAAGACATAAAACTGACCTTCAGGGATCCCAGTGCATGATGGGATAGAAGCGATGATGAGCAGTAGTAAGACGAAGAGATGCTTCATGTCTCTGCTAATGGACTCCATGTTTGTTCTAAACTTATCAAAGGATCAAAGGTTGAGAACAAACAAACTACAAACCAGCCCCCCGCTAAACCCCCAACAGTACAGCAGCAGGCTTTCCCTATCAGGCTGATGAATGTGTTTTCCTCACAGTTTAATAACAGGTAAATAACAATAAAGAGGAGGTTTAAACTACTGACTTTACAGATTCTGACTAGGTGATAAACTCATGACTTCTAAATGTACTGCAACTCCAAGTCTGGGGCACACTTTAAACATACCAAGATATTTATCACTGATCGGTTGGTGAAGTTGTGAAATGAAGACATGGCGTTAACCAATGAGCACTCCCTGGTTAATCCATCCTTTCAGAGTTTTAGCAAGACCAGAATTCACAAACTGATTTCCTGCAGATTTTATAGGATTGAAATTCCTTTTGGAACCAACTCACCAAAATGGAGTTCAGACTTTTCAGATAATCTGTTAGTATTATTGATTATTGATTAGATCATTTTATTAAAATGGGGAGGCTGTAGCACAGAGGGTAGAGTCGATCATCAGCAGGTTGGTGGTTCGATCTCTGGCTGCTCCAGTCTGCCAATATCCTTGGTCAAGATGCTAAGCCAGAGTTCTCCCTGATGCATCCATTGGAGTATGAATGTTAGAAAGCACTTATGGTGACTCATGATAGATGAACGTAGTTGTATGTTCAGTGTCAACAATACAAGTTGTATAAAGTGCTTTGAGTGCACTGTAGAGTAGGTACAGCCATTTACAAAAAGGCCGGAGGTTCAGTTCAGAAATGCTGAGATGAAGCTTAGCAGACAGCTAACCACCATTAGCCTGATATCTCAGACTAATACAAACTCTGAGCCTCAATACAATTTAAACAGGTCAGTTATTAGAAAGTTCAACCGCATCCACCTGTTAGGAAGGGACGAATTAGCTATAAAGAGATATTTTTGTAACGTGTTTATTTTGCTGTAAAATTGGACATTCAGTGCATGTCTGCCTGGAGGCTGATGCTTGATTTTACCAAATATCTCCAGTATGAACATCTTACATCGATATTATTTTTACATTTGATTTAAAGCATAAACCCATATCTAAGCCTGATATTAATTAATAAAACTGTTAACTATCAGTTATATTTACTTACTTTTCTTACTGAGGATAAAATTTTAAAAAGGTCCATAGAGTTATTATACAAGCCAGTACATATATTACATTCTTTTATTAAATCAAAAATCACACTCATTGAATCATTTAGTTTATTTTTTCCATGCGAGCAAAAACACATATCATTTAAAGGCTGCAGGTGAAATGATGGCAAGGCAAATAATAAATATGTAACGTAAACAGTTCATTGCTACATTTCAAGTTCAAGTTAGCTCTTTTTTTCCCATAAAAATAAAACACATGTGATAAAGAGTTTATTCTTTAAAAACAAAAAGTTTGAATGTGGAATCATCAAGTTTGTAAACAGGAAGCGGTGGAGTTTTTAAAGTTACAGTGCTGTGCGATTTCTGTTCCTCTTCTTTCCTCCAGGGGGCAATAATCTTCTTAAACAATGTCCTTCAGGATGTCAGGGATAAATTCCTGAGCATCTCTTAGGTCATCCTTCCACTCCTGTGGGATGCAATTTCCTGTGTGGGCGCCTCCGGCCCCCAGCAGGGCCCCGAGCGCCGCTCCACGGTTACAGTTCTCACCTGAAGTCAGAACCAAACAAAACGAAAATAAGAACAAACACAACACTGATGTCATACATGCAGACCATGAAATTAAAAAATGAAATTATTAAAAGTCAAAATTAGCCCATCGCTCAGCTATCAGCAGGAGGTTTCTACTGAGTTAGTCTGACTGACACCGAGTGTGATGGAAGGATAGTATGGGCACTGCTTTTATATTAATGAAAGAGAAATAATAATAATAATAATAATAATAATAATAATAATAAATCCATCCATCCATTCGCTTCCGCTTATCCTTTTCAGGGTCGCGGGGGGCGCTGGAGCCTATCCCAGCTGTCATAGGGCGAGAGGCGGGGTACACCCTGGACAGGTCGCCAGTCTGTCGCAGGGCAACACACAGGGACAGACAACCATTCACACTCACATCACTCACACCTAGTGACAATTTAATTAATAATAATAATAATAATAATAATAATAATAATAATAATAATAATAATAGTATAAAGACTCACAAAAACCACATACTGCACTAATTACTTTTCAGTTTTTTATTTAGATTTGTATATTTATAGACTTTAATTCGCTAAAAACAAAAGTTTGAATGTGGACTCATCAAGTTTGCAAACAGGAAGCAGTGGAGTTTTTGATCCTCTTTTAAGGTGCAATACATTGCTGTTTCATACCTACATAAAGACTCTGAATAATTTAATTAATATTAATATTCTATTCATTTTTTTTTTATATAGCACTCGTCACAGGATAAAAACACAAAGTGTGTCACAGTAATATAAAAACAGAAATACATAAAAAAATAAAAAAAACCAAACACTTGTTGTGTGGCTTCTGCTTGACCGCATAAGCCACACCTGGGCAAAGATTTAACCAACAGGAGCCTGAGTGCAAACCAGCATGTTTAAATTTTACCTCCACAGTTGGTGTTTGCCAGGATTCCTCCTTTGGGGTCATCGTGAAACTCGTGGGCCAGGTAGAACAGGCTGGACAGAGCACCTGTTTGTGCAACACAAGCAGGTAAGACAAGCATTTAAAAACAATGATCTTAAGTTTTACCAGCCAGTGAGGTAAAAGAAAGGTTATTGGTCGGATTCTGACCTTTGTTGTAGCAGGCCATACCAAGGTAGTTCACAGCGCTCTGATGGACCTTCAGTCTCTCCTCAGAGGACACAGAAAACCTAAAAAACATTACGGATAACCTTTTACACACAGACGCTGCTTCCAAACCAAGCATTTAGTCTAAAGGAAGTCTGCAGAAAGTGTTGGACAGCTAATAAAAAAGGGCTTTTTACTGTAGACTTTTGTTGTGAATGAACTGCAGGAAGTGTGATTATGAGTGTCATAAAGAATACACTTGTTGTAGGCTTTTAATGTGAACGCCTGGACAGGAAGCATTACTTAATTCTCAACATTTTAGCAAATCCTGAAATACAGAAAAATGTTAAAGTACTCCTTTAAAGCTGTTCCGGGTCTCAAAGAGCTCAAATCCCTGTTTATTCTGAAAGACTTTTACTTCTAAATGCATACAGGAAGCGGTCTCTGGCAGCCGACCTAAAATTCTAATAAATATTTTAATAAGAAATTGTCAAAAACCAAATGCTGCTCAGATGCTTCAAAGTAAAAGTTTTCCAGGGGCCAAAAGAAAGTACCAAGTGGTTAGACTCAACTCTTATTCTGAAACATCTAAAGGAAGTGTTAGATATGTTTACAAAATCTCACTTGGCCGCCTTGCGACTGAAGCTCTGGCAGGCGTCCCAGGCATCCAGTCTCCTCAGAGCTTGCTCAGCCTGCTCACGGACACTGGCCCCGCCCAGTACCGCGTGCAGTGCCCGGCTGTAGATCGTCACGTACTCGGGCACGTTGGGGTGAGGATGGGTGAGCTTTACGAACTCCACCGCTGCTGAAACCTGAGGACAGAGTAGGTTAAAGGTCACATGTTGCTATCTGAGACTGTTTCTTATGTTGTTGATTTGTGTTCGCTTACGGCTCGCTCCTCATTGGCTGAGGCAGACAGAAGGATGAAAGGAAGGATCATGGGAAGGCAGCCAATGGCATCTAGCTGGCAGTCAGGGAACGGAGAGCTCGTTTTCATCCCGGAGCGTTCCTCTGCAAACTTCAGAACCTGGAAAACAGCAAGTAAATTGGTGAAACACTCCAGATGTGGCATGTTACAGCATAGGGGTCAACTGCTTCTGTCCTACTTCATGTGGCGAGGTCGGTTTGCTCTCCTGCCAGTCAGCAAAGAATGAGCGGTGGAAGGATTCAGCGTAGGTGTCCTTGTGTGAACCGGGTGTGGTCAGGAAGTGGACGTAGTCTGATAGAACAGCAGCTCGAGCATCTGGCTGAGAGACGTCCACAAAACCTCTGGAGACAAGTGTCCGAGCCACTCGAAGGGAGCAGAGGATGTTCAGCGTGTTGTCACCTGCCTGAAGACCTTGAAGACCACAGAGAAAGAACATGGACACAACAAAAATAGAAACAAACAACAAAACGAAGGAAAAACAGTGAACTGTAGTATAGGGCGGCAGTACCTCGGTGATAGTGGATCGATCCACTTGAGGAGTTCCACAACTCCAGCTTATCATGGAGAATGACGCTGCCGACCACATTGGCTCGCTTTGCACCAGAAGACCAGTTGGTGCGACCACTGCCGGCTGCAAAATGACAGAGAGGTTAAAAACACCAGGATTAATCAGGATGGAGCTCCTCAAGGCTGTGTCCTTGGTCCTCTTCTGTTTGTCTGTCTCGACACCGGTTCATCCGATCTTCTTCATATTTGGGAGGTGTATTTTTAGGGATTTGAGTTGAGTGCCAAATCTGAGTTCATTTGGATGAGCAGTTCTCATCTTCAGGTTCAGAGTTCTTTTAAAAGTATTTTGCCCACACTGAGTGATGCTTTGCCAGCATCAGTAGGAGGGAGGTTTCTGCTTTTTTAGTTTAAACTAGAGATGGACCGATCCGATATTATGTATCGGTATCGGTTCGATACTGACCTAAATTACTGGATCGGATATTGGAGAGAAATAGAAAATGTAATCCAATCCATTAATTATCACAAAAGCACTTCACAAAACTTGCAACATGGCGTAACTCAGCTCATAATTTTAGCACGTCGGAGCAGTGTGCGTCACGTGATAGAGTGGCTGTGGCTGTGGCATGTGAGACCTGTCGGTGGTCTGGCTGAGCATTTGGAGCCTCGTTACCAAATCGGTATTTTATCTCAGAGAAAGTTATCCCAGAGGAGTAAAGCAAGTGTGTAAGTTCATCTCTGAATGTTTGTAAAGCATTCGCCACGATAAGCTTAACAACCGATATATGGAGCGACTGCCTCTTCTTCTCTCCCTCACTCTCCTGTTGC